CACCCGGAGAATGGGGATATAGTAAACAGTACCAGTCATCTACACGGATGTCAAGGGTTCAGTGACACTTTGCATGTAAAACGTGCTTAGCTCAGCGTCTGATAGAAAGAAATCATTCAGCAAACCTTAGCTATTAGCTGGATTATTTGCAAATTGCATAATTCTATGGCTGGGACATGGTTTCCACATTACAATGGTGAGCCCCTCTCTGAGCCCACTCAGCAAGCCCTGAGTCCCAGGCACACTTCTTCTTGGGGCATGTGAGCGTGCACTGCCTAGGAGTCAATGTCATTCTGTCGTGCTCTACCTGGCTCCGTCGGTACCGTGCTTTTTCCTTTCTCCAGCATGAGTCCAAGTATCTCTCTGGTGTGCACGTCTGTGTGTGTGGCAGTGTGTGCCCATGCAGACAGGCACACGCCTCCCCTTTGCCTGTTCCTGTCTGTGTCTTCGTGAGCCACCTCCTTGTGCATGTGTGCGTGTATGTGTGTGGGATGTGCTCACTAAAACTCCAGAACCCCAAGGGAAGGTCTGCACACAGAGACCTGCCACACCAATGCGTGGGAAGTGAGGGGAGATGTCTGTGCAGCAGCTAGACGAGGAGATGGGGTGGCAGCCCCCACAGGGGGAGAAGCAACTGTTCCCCAGACAGGGAAAGTCTCTTCTTTGAGAGGCCCCAAAGGAAGCACAGATTTCTCAGTATATTTTGATGTCTCTGCCGTTGCACACAACAGCCCTTCCCTGCCTGAGAGCCACAGGCCTCCAGCGCAAGTTTCTGTTTGGGGGACCCACTGTTAGTCACGTCTGGGCCTAAGCCATCTCTCAGGGAGCACTGTTTCACTGACTCTTGTTGGCAGTACATCTGCATCCAGGTGCCTGGGGATGCTTGCAGCCTGTCCCTTCATGAGCGGCTGGCACCCACGCCTCAGCTGTGATCTGGGACACAGAGGCCCATGAGAGCTGAGGAAGTGGGCCTGGAGGTGGATTGCCTGCAGACTGGGGTTACCTGGGAAGGCAGCTCTGCTTGGCTCCTTCCAGTATAATCCAGGGAAGTAGTGAGAACCCCCTGGCTTTATAACGTACTACCAGGCCTCATTTATTCCTTCCAGAATCATTCTCTATGTTCTCTCCTATTATGGGCCCAGCACCAGTGAAGGTATTGGGAACATAGCAGTGAAGAATCACAGAAATACCCCATGGGTTTAGCCAGAGGACGCAGCCAGAAGGAATCAATAGGAGAAACAAGTCAGAGAGTAAGTTAGCAGGTGGTAAGTGCTCCAGAAAAAGGGAGTTCAGCAGGTTATGTGGAAGCAGGAGCCATAGCACCAGTGGAGGGCTGTGTTTTGACTACAGTGGTGGGTGGGGGTCTTATGGGGCAGAGGCATGCAAGAGGTGAAGGGCTGGCCTGTGAATGTTCCCTAATCTCTCTATTTCTTTTCAAGTTCCTTGCTTGGATTGTGAAATTGAGAGATGGTTAAGCCTGCCCCTTGGAAGGGAGGACAGGAGAGGAAGGAGGGTGTCATGACTATGATTTTTGCCATGCTCAGAGTTCCAGAGGGAAGCATAGTTCAAGGGGAAGGTTGTATTTTGGTCCAAGAAAAGTTTGTACCACTCAGGCTCAGGACCCCCAGTGGATGGTGCCTCTGCTGGTGCGCCCCTGTGTGATGAGAGCACTATTACAGCCTCTTCTGGCCCGGTGTCTCTCCCAGGATATTCTGAGGGCAGCTGGTGTGAGGACTGGTGGGTGAGCTTGGAGGTCTGCCAACA